TCTATTCAAACTCCCAGGTCCCTTTCTAACCCCAAACACAGCAAAGTCTGAGGAAAATCAGAATAAGAAATGATACCAATGGTCAAAGAAATGTATGATAAGAAACCACACCTTTCTTCCCAGTGACTCTCTTAAGAAAACTCAAGGAAGCAGGGATTTTCCAGAATGGTCATGTGTTTTAGCCAAAGTCACATGACAAAGTGTAGCTACATAGTACTCTAGGAGGTGGGATGGACCTTACAGAGATCATCTAGTCCCAACCCTCCCTGCCATGGGCAGGGACACCTCCCCACTAGACCAGGTTGCTCAAGGCTCCATCCAGCCTGGCCTTGAACATTGCCAGGGTTGGGGCATCCACGACTTCCCTGGGCAACCTGTGCCAGCATCTCACCACCCTCACAGGAAAAAACTTCTTCCTAATATCTAACCTAAATTTCCCCTTCTTCAATTTGTACCCATTACCCCTTGTCCTGTCACTGCAGTTTCTAGCAAACAGTCCCTCTCTGGCTCCCCTGTAGCCCCTTCAGATACTGGAAGGCTATGAGGTCTCCATGCAGCCTTCTCTTCTCCAGGATGAACTTCCTCATCCTGTCCTCATAGGGGAGATGCTCCAGTCCTCTTATCAACTTCATGGCCTCCTCTGGACTTGCTCCAACTGTTCCATGTCCTTCTTACGTTGAGGGCACCAGAACTGTGTGCAGTATTCCAGGTGGGGTTTCATGAGAGCAGAGGGGGAGAATCACCTCCTTTGACCTGCTGGCCACACTATGTTTGATACAGCCCAGGATTTGTTTGGCTTTCTGAGCTGTGAGTGCACACTGCTGGGTCATGGGACCTTCAACACAGGTTACTGGTATTCAAGACATCTAGACTAGAAATTTACTCTCCCATAGCATAGTTGAGAAAGATCATATAGGATACCAGGAGATGACTTGTCAGGGAGGTGTCCCTGCCCATGGCAGGGAAGTTGGGACTAGATGATCTATAAGGCTCATTCCAACCCCTAAAATTCTATGATTCTATGATATCTCCATTTTATTGAAATCCTTTCCCAACAGCAAAGCCAGTGCTACAAATGCATATAAACAGAGCTCAATATACAAAATAAAACCAGACCAAACTGAAAATCCTTTGATGTATTCAGTCTTATTTTGCTCTGAAGTAGAAAGCACCCTGACAATAAAGGACTTCTAATTTATTTCTTTAGAGTAAAATAGAAGTGTGCCTTCTTGTATTACAAAATCTAGAATATTAACTATTTCCAAAAACATTTTGTTTTGTTGAAAAGCAGTAATTTTCTTCACCAAAAAGTAACATACACCCAACAATGCCATAGAAGGAGGGAACCACAAATTAAGCCCAGGACTTTGGCATCAGGATTTATACAATTATGAGGTCTACAGTAGGCAGGTGCAGGTGTAAAAAAATCCCTCCAACATTACACATCAGTCCTGCTTTTTGCGCTCCTACAAGTCACTTCCTTGCAGCCATTTATTGGTGTTTTCCTTTAAATCTTTAAAAAATAACAAAACCCTACAATCCAATGCCTGTCAAAGTAGCAGAACTGGTTCACTTTAGAACCACCAGACCCTCAAAAATCACTCCATCAGAAATTTCTTGGTATTTCTGATGCCCATAGCAGAAGATGTAGAGTGGCTGAACTTGCTCCTTTGCTACCCATGCAAGTTATATTCCCTCCATTCATCTAATTTGGCAAAAAATATTCCAGGGATCATCGGTTGTTAAACAGTGTTTTGAGTTGCACATACTTTGTTCTTTACTCCGTTGAGTCAGTAAGCAACATAAATCAGAAAAACCTGCTCTTTTACCCACTGTGCTCTACCCAAGTGCCTGAGGAACAAAGCAGAGGGAGCAGTGGTGTAGAGGGAACAACAGTTACATGGAAGGTCTGTATAGCAGTGGCTTCATGTACATTCTGAAAACACTAAAATGTGTTGGATCCATCCAGGAATGCTAGCTTCTATTCATTTGTTCCTCTTTGGAAGTTTGTAAAAGCAGTAGTTTCTTTTTCCGATATTCTTCATTCTCCTGCTCGGCTTCCTCATCTATGGATTTTCTTACACATGCTTTTAGTTCCTCAATTCCTTCTCCAGTATATGTAGATATAGGAATTACCTCTTTGAATTCAAGTGTATTTGCAGGAATCATTTCTTCCTCTAACAAGAAGTCTGAAAAATCATATTGGAAGAGTTAGTACAATCCCCAAATACAACATCACTACAAAGCCCAAAAAATCCCCTTAAATGTAGAAAATAAACTTTTATAAATTACTGCAATAAACATAACTGCAATTAATATACACATGTTCATTTCTTATTTAGGCTTTAAAAAAAATAAAGTCTCAGAAGACAAGCGCTAACATAGCAGTAACACCATCCTTCATGCCGTCTTGAGAAGATTCTGTACACTTCCATTGAGTACAAAGAAATCCCAAGTTGTATAATATAGACGAGAGATGGTCTTAAGCCTTTCTGATTCTTACATACTCCAGGAAACAGAAAGCAATTCTCCTCAATGTAACTGCAAAATTGAAGTAAACCTACATAGACCTGTCCAGAATTTTCATGTGTTTTGGCCAAAGTCACATGACAAAGTGTAGATACATCACTGTCTGTAATGTGCCCTTCAATACAGGTTACTGTTATTGAAGACACCTAGACTGGAAATTTACTCTCCCATAGCATAGTTGAGAAAGATTTTGTAGAACATCTCCATTTTATTGCAATCCTTCCCCAACAGCAAAGCCAATGGTGCAAATGCATACAAACAGAGCTCTAAATGCAGGAAGTGATTTTAAAACATATGTTCAGATAATAAATTTAATAGCTGACTTCAGTTTCAAAAAACTCCTTGCCAATGCAGAGTTACCCCTGATGAAATCTTACTACTACTTTTGTCAAAGGTTATTCTTGGAATTTCATTTACCTCGAGGATTCTGTAGTTGTTCCATAAGTTCATTCAAGTTATCCCTAGCACAAGGCAAATCCATTTTATTAATGGCAAGAAGTGCAGGCTTTGCTAGAAGTTCCTCTTTGTATAGCTCCAGTTCCTTAAAAGGAAAGTAAATTCTCCTTAAAAAGTATTGGTAGTTTAACAAGTGCTACTTCGATTTTATATCTCCTCTCATTTGTTTAATTGTCTAAATAGTTTTTCATGCCTAGGCAGCTGTGAGATTGACTCAGGTGCTTAAGTCTGATATATTAAAGCAGTCTGACAGAGGAAAATAATGTTCAGTGATTTTTTTTCTCCATGACAGATTTCAGGTGAACAGGCTAGCTCATTCTGGAACAGCCTCTTATAAAATAAATAACAGTTTAGGGGTTTTTTTTTTAGTGGCTTTTTTTTTTCTTCTGAGATCCACAAACACAAAATTAATTTCAAAAAAACTTCAGACCTATAAAATGTGTAAGAAAATTATTTGGAGAATTTTCTTAAACTTTTGAATGGACTCTGGTTAATATCAGAAAATCACAGCCATGAATAAACTAAAGATAAACTGCAAGAGCTGAAATTCAGAAGATTCATCAACTTAAGTAGCACAGTTAGAGAGAAATCAGCTGCTAAATTTGAAGTTACATAAAATGTATTATTTTAATCAGAAACATTGGTAAGAGATGGAAAAAGCAAAGCTGGGCCTGATGTCTCACCCCTGTTAGGCCATGCAGTAAGGGCATGAAGGCACATATTCAACCATACCCATGTATTTCAGCTTCCTAAAATGCCACCAGACTGGGGGATGGAAAATGATGTGTCTTGTTACCTTTACTTGACTGTAAGAAATATCCTGTATGCTGCACAGATTAATGAATGTTGTGATTAGTTACGTTGTGCCCAATATAAACTAGAGCAGTTTCATCTGGACAGGTAAAAACAAAGACTTCATAACTTCGGAGAATCCTAAATTTGTTAACTGGCCTTATATTGTAAATCCAGAACATCTGAATGTTTCTTGATCAAAATTGAACCTTTTCCTTAGCTCAATACATAACTACAACTATCAAACAGGAAGATGAGAACTTACCTTTGTTAGAAGCAATATAGTTTCAAAGGCTGTTCTGAACTGAGTCTTACCAGACAGTTGAAACCCAGAAATATCAACCTGAAAAAGGTGCATAAAATCAAGCTTTGTGATATTAAATGATGTTATAGTATCAAGGTATTCACCATCAATTACTTTGCAGTGAAATGTACATGCGTTTATTCCTGGGCAAATAACAGAGGGCAACTATACACCAAAGTTACATCACAGACACTGGAAGCACAAACTGGTTAGTTCTTATACAGTTTCTCAAAAGTCTGATTTTTAAATCTTATCTTTTTAAGGGGATCCTACAGAGAAAAAAGAAAAGAAAAAAATCACTCCAAGCTTCAGTTATGCTTGGAAGATCTCACTGCTCTAAATTAATTGGCAATTTTCAATGACAAATTCTATTTCAGGATTTCATTTATCATCAGTGTCTTGAGTGTTTCATTCTGTGAACAGTACTACAGCTGTATTTATCATAAAGCATGCAAATTACACGATTTCCTAAATTCCAACTAGACTGCAATTAAGATGCATTTTATTTACTTCACTGCCTTTGAGTTAAATAAACTGTAGATTTTATTTAACTTACAACTAAGAGAAGCTGTTTGGTTCTTTCTACATGTTTGAGAAATTTGTGGCCCATTCCTTTGTTTGCATGTGCACCCTCAATCAGTCCTGGGAGATCAGCTACTGAAATCTAGGAAAACAAAAGTTTCAAACAAAAGATTTCCAACACACAAAGCCAGAGATTTTAAACTATCAAGAACGATTATCATTCTACATAAACAAAAGAACCCAGACAAAGCAACATGCGTTGGCTGTTTGCATACACTTAGAATCTATCATCAGAAGCAAATTTAAACAGAATGACCTAGTGCTCCTCATGTTGCCCCTGTCTATTTATTTATAGCTGCTTGCAAAGTAGAAAACAGAGGGTAATATTACCTCAGCAGAGATGTTGCAAAATTTAGCTATTACCTGAGAATAAAACAGATTCTGAAAGGCAAGAAGATTAGGCTATCACATTCATATAGAATTCAAACTGCCACTGGAAAATAAAATAAAGTCTATTCCTTGTGACTACAGAGGATCATTACTCCAAAAACAAACACACTTAACATTGTTCCCAAGTGTGAGAAGCCATAAGAATTTGACTTCTTCTCTTCAGCTCAAATGGGATTTTGACTAGTCAATCAGCTTCCAGCCAGAGCCCAGCAAAGACTGCCACAAAGCACAGGGACTTTGTAATTTTCTCTGTTGGTTGAGAGGGTTATACACAGTTATGTTAGGGAAAGCAGAGACAGACTGAGAAAGGGCAGTGTAAAATCCCTAAATATCTACTCAGTATTTCACAGAAAGCTAAGACAGGTAGTGAAGTAAAGAGCAAAACTAGGGTCTTCATAACTATCTAATACCCACTTAGACAACAACTAGATTCAATGAAACAATGCCCCAAACCAGCATACAGTGAAATTCCAGTGTGCTACCTATTGCAGAAGGGGGCTCAGATATTCTGGTAGAATATCTAAATGCTTCTGCTAGTTTTCATGATCTGATACTAAGACCTGAAACCAAAGTAATTTTCAGATCCTTTACTTTTGTGTCTTTTCCAGGTAGCAATGATTGATGACACTAGGTAACTTGCATGTATTTTCTTTTTTATAATGTGCTAAAATAAAATAATCAAACTGCTACATATTTCTTTTAAAATATCAATGTTCTTTAAGGGAAAAAAATAAATGGGTGACTGTCCCTTCAGTGATACTGGAAAGACACCTTAATTATTGCTCTTAATCGCTTGTGTAATTTTGTTTTCAGCAGTTGCAATACTGAGAACTGAAGTACGTGCTCTTACTCACAGATGTTCCCTGTGATCACAACCTTTAGTCCCCTTGACTTCAGAAAAGAAGTATTGTGTCCATATAGTTCCTATATAGCACCCAACACTGTAGTATAAAAACCAAGGACTGCAGAAATGCTCAACTATAAGCATCATTGGCTATGACAAGAAACAGACTTCAGAAAAGAAAGCCAGGAGTGCAAGTAGTTCTCTTGTTGGAGAAAAGAGACCAGTAAGAGCAAGAGGTCCTCATTCATGGAAGCCAGTTAGTCTTCTGAAAAGGTAATGAAAAATCCTGGTATTTGCAACACAGCTTTCCAGGATAAACTGACCCAAACTAGCAGATAAAATGAATATACAAAAAAAATCTCCCTTAGACATGTGCATCTCTACCAGGAACCTGACAAACTAGACTTACTTCCTTTAATACACAGTTTTCTTAATGGTTGTTGAAGGTTTCAAGCATCAGCTACCGAATCTCCCTAAGATTATTGTTTCTGAAAGGGAAAACAGTTGTGCTTTGTCTTTTCATATCTGAGAGCTATGCTTTCCTGGTTAACTCATCTGAAACCCTTTTATGCATTTGCCTTTTATCTTGGAAGTGAAGAGTCCAGTGCTGCATGTATCATATACTTCAAAACCAGAATAAAAGCACATCAAAGAAGACTCAAGCTGGAGGAATGAAAATGTTTGCTGTAACCTTACATAAACTTGGGGTCCAAACTCTATTACTAAGAGTCTCATTTAGCATTAGCTTTCCCCTCAGTGGATACTGCAGAAAGCATTCCAGGCACAACACAATTATCTGACAGCTTTATCTGAAGAGGCTGGCTAGAACAGAGTTCACTAAAATTTAGGTGATATAGCAGTAGCTCCATCAGTCCTCCAGAGCTGGAGCCTACCACAAAAGGAAGTGAACACAGGTGCACTCTCCTGGCTGTTCAGGCAATCACTATCATGTCATACTATTTTAGTCTTTTATTAAAAACAAACAAAAGCCCCCAAAAGCCACCATCCAACAAAAACCCACAAACACAAACAACAAACCACAAAAGAAAGCTAGAGCAGCCAACCTAGAAAGCCATAAAGTTATGGTTATTTGGTTACATTCATGAAATTCCCTGTCATTTGCTATTGTAGGTCTGCAGCTATTGGACAAATCTGCCACTATTTACAATCCATTCTGAAAATGGCTCATTCAGTCCAGAGCTCTCTGTATAGACAATTTGAAGAAAATTTGCTTCTCTAAATAAAAATAACAGGCTAGTCTCTGAAACACTTCTTTTTTTCAAAGTACTAAGGTTAATAAGAATATACTAGGACACAGCAATCTCAATTCCATGAACAATTTCACACCTCTAAGATTATAAGGCAAGGTTAGAACCATAGAACGGAGACAAGGGAAAATGAGAAGCCATTTATTAAAGTGCTGTGAAATCAGTTCAATCTCATATTATTGTAGCTGGCTATAAAACTGTCTTCTTCTTACATCATAAAATAGTACTTTTTCCTCAACTCTAAGTCCATGTAATTGCATTTGATATGTACACATTATAGATACACATATGAAAATATCTACAAGATGCTGTTCTTTTTCTGAAATTATGTCAAGCAACATAACTAATCATTATATATAACAAACAACCAAAATGAACTTTCATACCAACCTGCTTATAATCCGCATACATGATCTTTCCTAGTTCAGGCTGAACTGTTGTAACTGTGACAAGGGAAAAAGAGGACAGGAAGACAACAAAACTGTTTTTAACATTTCAGAAAGTGTTAATGCTACAAAACATTTAAATGTTGTAGGACTTTCTCACGATATTTCAATTACACAAATGTTCAGCAGTAAAAAAAATAAGGAAAAGGAATAAAGAAAAAGCAAAATGAGAGACCACTCAAAAACCTCAGTGGTTCACCAAATTTTGTCTCTGTCTGGAGTTCTGTTTTTGTCACCCCAAAAAGGGAACAGTGAAGCTACTGAAGTCTCAGAAACAAAAATTATAATCCAGACTATGGAACAGTTTCCAAACAGGGAAAAATAATGACAGGCAAAGTGAGATAGGACTCTTCAAACTGAGGAAAAGGTTGTAGAGAATAGGAGTGGTGCAAGAAGGTCAGTAGGAATTACCAATACTTGCACTCTTGCTTTTTAATTAAAGAAGATCAGACAACTAATCGTGATTTACTGGTAGGAAAAAACCAATTAAAGTTTTCTGTCTATTTTACAGTGGATAGATTCAAACCCAAAACCTTCTCTGTTGCAAGAACAAGTGGCAGTTAATTCCAAAGAACTCAAGATGCTTATGCAAAGGAACTTGACAGTACATATTCAGTAGATTGAGGATATTACACACCACGGAGAGTCTCGGATGCAATAAAATGGGCTGAGACTAAAATAAATGTTAAACAGACCTTGCATGAACAGGTAGATATTGGATAAGCACTTATGAGGGTGTACACATGAAAAACTGAGGTGGTTAAAAGAACCTGACACTGAAACAGCAAGTATCTCTTTCAAGTATTTCTCCTAATTAAAACTCAGGCAACATGGTTTGCAGGTTTATAATAAAGAATAGGGGGTAACCAAGTCAGAGAAAAGACTTCTTGCTGTCATGAAATATTACCACTCTAAAACTAAGAGTGTGGACTTACATGGGTAATTTGCAATCTCGGGTTTGGCATGAGAAATCTTGCTTAACAATGATGATTTTCCAGCATTTGGAAACCTAGAAGGAAAAGTCAAGATTTATACACTGAATAAACACCCATGATTCCTGGATATTTTATTACCAAATGCTCTATATTACCTTATGTAAATTCAATGCTATCAACTCATTTTTGCTCTCATTAACTCAAGACTTGGGTTTTTGGGGTTTTTTTTTTTAAAAACCAACCAAACCCAGATCACTATGATTTATTTTTTGAAATCAAATCTGAACGGTTTTTCTAAATCCAACAATACTTCACAAGATGCAGGTGGGAGAGTTATGTAAATACAAGTGTAATAGATTTAAGGGAAATATTTCCAATTCACTCAGACAGGCATGACTGTCCGGGTCTACTCCAATTCAGCTTTCACATACTCTTGCTAATTTAGTAAATTACACTTACATTCTAAAAAGCTGTCATGCAATTATCAGTTGGATTTACAGTCTTTTGGCACACAAATCATGGTTCTTGAAAGTCTACAATTTAAGTACCAATGATATCTATGTTACAGTTTAGCTGACATAGCAAAGCAAACATAAACTCTGTGAGAGGCTTTGTGTATATAGACACACTAATGCAGAGTTTGTATATGTTTTTAGGGCAACAAAGTTGTATGAGGGATTCTGAAACTAGCACTAACCTGCTTTGTTACCAAGTAAACCAAAAAGAACACCAGGGAAGCCCTAGGAGCTGGTCTGTGCAGTCCTGACTTGCAACTTTTTCCTTTTACAAGGGATAGCTATACCTGCATACTACAACAGAAGTGCTCCTTAAGGGATATGTTAGCTTTTACAAAAGCTACTTCACAGAATACATCTACCCATTGAAATGGAAACCCAAGTCAAAACTGAAATTGTCTTGTTTTAAAGATTAACCTGAGCTGTAAAAGACAAAATAACCTTGATCCACGTCAAACTTGAATGCTGACATCACAGGATAGCCTACAGTCCTTATTCTTAGCACCTGCTCCAGAAAGACCACACAAGACTTATGTTCCAGTCAAATTCACAGACAGGTATTTGTCACAGTGTTTCAGTGCAACAGTGATCAAAGAAAACCGTGCCTACAGGCAACTGACCATTGGTCAAAAGACACAAAGGCCTATGTCCCACAGAAAACCATGCTCTGCTTGAATACATGCAGAACCATGGCCTGTTAACAAGCCTTAATAGCACTAAGGGCCTTTATAAGGGGATTGCACATGAATCTTTCTTTAAAAAAAAAAGAAGACCTAATGACTCTTGTTAAAACAGGAAAACTACTGAGAGCATTTTAAACATGCATTGATGTTGGAAGGTGCCTTGATGACATTCCAGAAGGTTACTCTGGTCATCTCCTACAGTGTTTCCACTTTGTTTCCACTGAGGTACAAGATATTCTTTGAAGTTTAAACCTAGACTAACACATCACAACCTGTACCCAAATCTGATGGGCCTTTCTCAGGTCTACATGTGTTTTAGCTGATCTAATAGCAAACCACTTGCAACCCTACTGAAGTAAAAATAACAAAGAGATCAAAGTACAAGCACAAACTATCAGAGGCTGATACATACTCTCAACAGGAAAATAACATGCTCCTCTAATTAACTGATAATGATTTTTTAAAATCCATTCTAAAGGGAAACTCTCAGCTAAAATACAAGCCAAAATGCAAGATCAAAGAAGCATCAGTGTCATAAAACTCCTGTTTTCATGCACGCCAAAACAAGAACAAAGTTGTCATGCTATTACTGAAAACCACTTGAAAATGATATAACTTTAGATAAATTTGATACTATTAGAATTATTTATAACAAGAAATTAAAGAAAAATGTCGCTAGAAAACCAAGCTGCCTTCAAGTTTCCATTCTTTAATGGTATATAGCAGTTAGACTATTTCCACCTCACACTCTCACCATTTCACATTTCCTATGTGTTTTATTAATAAAGACCACAGGGCTGATGTGTGTGTAGCAGATGCTGAGTAGGCCAATACTTTTAAAACTGTAGTTTGTTGAAGGCTTTCTCCAAATAAAACTATTATTAGCCTGCATTGTTATAAAGCAGCAACATTGAAATGCAAGTCCTACTGTTCTAGTTTTGTAATGACTTCCTTCCAACATTCCAAGCTGTTTATTTGGGAGAGTAGGCTACCTAGCCTTTGGAACACTCTTTAAAACTACTACTGAAAGGATCCACTTGAGCCAGTATTATAAAGTCAAAGATGCAATATGAATACTGTTCTTGACTCTGTTTTTCACTTCCTACTTCATAAATACTACCTAACAGCATTTTGGTAATCTCTGCAATTGCTCAATGCAATTATATTACTAATCATATATTATCCATGATTCGTGAAGCCCTTCACTCACAAAAGCATAACCAATACTTTCCAAATCTAAAAACTAATTTTAATAGGATTAAACTCAACCTGGTATTTGCAAACTGCAAATAATTTAAGTGGCAATGTACATGTACAGCTCATCCTCAAAACTCAAAATTTCTTTGAAATCTCATTTGACATTTTCTACTTTGTTTTCTAATATCAGTTTTCAAACTACAGTACTTACCCAACTAAGCCAATGTCTGCTATAAGTTTCAAATCAAGATGAACCATTCGCTTCTGACCTTTGCAAGGCAAAAAGTTTGTGGCCAAAGAGCCTCCAAGACCTCCGCGAGCTGCTAACCATCTGTCTCCAGCTGCATTAAGCTCTCCTGAAAATAAATTCAGTCATGAAAGAGCACAATTCTTTGCAGTAGTCCAGTTGTGATTTTCCACTTAAACATCTCCCATTACATGATAATTTTCTGTATGTTTTCTTGCAAGAACTGTGCCCTCAGGGTCATGGTGTTTGCTTTCTTTGGAAACAAACAACAGCACTCACACCCCAGCATTCTTCTGTCTCACAGTTAGTCACCTCAAGAAAAGTGCTAAGTACAGCCAGGCAAAGTATGGCCAAATTGGTGGTTCTGAAGCCTCCAATATTTAAATTCAAGACTACAAGGAAAAATCTGCATTGATTGAGATGTGGCTACGGGAAACTCTTCACATGTTCTGTATTTTTCCATTAAGATGCAGGCTATGTCTCCCTTAGGGTCAAAATAATTAAAAGGGGAAAAAAAAGGCAACACTTGGATACCTTTAGACACTGACATGCTACATCACAAACAATTCGTGCCATTTAGTTAAACATCCAAATCATGGTCATTTGTGAATTTAGTTTGAATTCTGAACAGTATAAGAAGAAAAACTGGTAAACTGTGAAGGAACCATTGAACACTCCAAGAGCACTGTATTTAAAGAGATCTTCCTGACTACTACCAAACACTAGTCTTTAAAAAAAGGGGGGAAAACTGGTATGTATTTTAAATAACCTGAAATGTTGATATTCAGCAAGGATCTTTACCTTTTAAGCATTGTCATAATTCAGCAAAGTTATAGGGACACTTAATTGGGTGTATGGAGACATAATTTATGAGGCCATGAATGGTCCTGTGGAGATCAGTATGGCTTTCAGCCTTTAATACTTCTTTGCAATGGCAATTTTCTTTCTCTGGCATGTAGTGACACAAACTAACTACTGCCAATTTCTGGAAGGTGTACTTGCTTTTCCAACAATTTCTACAGTGTATTTGTTTGTTGACTCTTTGTCCAAACAAAGACAAGCACACACATATTTTGGGAAACGAGGAACCTTAAAACATCCTAGTGTTAGAAATGTGCTAGATGTATCAATAAATGTGACAAATATTAGATACATTAAAACAAGCAAATGTGCTTACCAATCTGCTTGCCATCATCAGTAACAACTGAAATTCCAGGAGGCACGTGAACTTCACAATCTTTTCCTTTATCTCCTTTTAGAGCTTTAATACTGGGAGAAATTAAACCATGCTTCGTAACTTGACATTTTGCTTTCTGAAAAGATCGTATATAACAATTTTCACCAAATAGACTCTTACCTGCTGTTGGCTCCTGGTCCAGCTACAAATCGCTTGTGGGGATATCTCTCCTTAATGCTCTTCAAGGTAGTTCTTTCTCTGGCAATGAACCAGACATCACCACCTCTTCCTCCTTCCCCTCCCAGACGAGGATAACCCATTCCACCAGCTCCTCCTCTCACATAGACCCGTAAATCATCTATGAAGTTGCCATACTAATGAAACAAGAGTTTTGTATCCTCTCACATAGACCCGTAAATCATCTACGAAGTTGCCGTACTAATGAAACAAGAGTTTTGTAGCAATATTATGTTCTGCTTATGTTTTGCTTTGCAGAGATGCATGTAAAACTGCTGGGATAAAACTTTGCAATACAGGAAAGTACAGAAAACAGATCTGGGTTTTTTTTGTAAAACTGCTGGGATAAAACTTTGCAATAAAGGAAAGTACAGAAAACAGACCTGAGGTTTTTTTGCATATGTTTGACCTATCTTCTCTGGCAGCTAAATCCTGTGCAAACTGCTTGGATAGAACTTGGAAGGTAATAAAGGAAAATTCAGAAAACAGATCTGGGTTTTTTGGTATATGTTTGACATATCTTCTCTGGCAGCTACATCCTGTGTAAAGTGCTTAGATAGAACTTTGAAAGCAATAAAGGAAACTTCAGAAAATAAATGCGTAACCCTTCAAAGTAATTTTTTTACCTCCTGGCTTCTTGTCTTTTAGAAGGGGCAAACTGCTCTCCAGCAAAGTCACAGCACTCCCCTTAAGGAAAAGACCCAAGAGCTTGTTCCAAGTTCATAGAGCACAGACTCAAGCTCTGCCAGGGGAGGGTTAGGTTGATATTAGGAAGAGATTTTTTTACAGAGAGAGTAGTCAGGCATTGGAATGTGCTGCCCGGGGAGGTGGTGGATTCACTATCCCTGGAGGTTTTCAAGCTGAGACTGAATGTGGCACTTAGTGCCATGGGCTAGTGACCACAGTAGGGTTGGACTCGGTGATCTTTGAAGTTTTTCCCAAGCCTGTTGATTCTGTGATTCTATGACAAGCGACATCTCACGGCCCGCGGGGCCAAGGCAGCGCGATGGGACGAGCGATCCCCCGCGCCAGTCCCACCTGTGTCGCTGCGGCACCGCC